AGCCTACAAACGTGCCCAGGTCAGGGAAATACATGTGGATAATTGGGCTGAACGATTTAGAAGCAGAGAATCGCTTGCATTTCAAACCGTGCATATTTCCAATACCCCCTTAGTGTATCTATTTCAGGCAGATCCTTAAGATTAAAGGGCTGCACGTCAGCCCGTATCTTACCCACGCTTCCTTGTCATCGTTTCTTTGCGATTAAATTTTGTGTTTTCCTTTCAGCCTAGAAGTGTTTGGTACCAGTCTCTTGGCAAAAGAGCCTGAGGAATGGAAGGGTAAAGAAATATGACCCAGCTGCTATGCACAATGAGGTTTGTAAGTCCTTGTATGGTATAAATAAGCATATTACACAGTTATTAGAAATTTGGCACTGTCGCTGTTTAGAAGCAAGACTCTGATGCTCTGTAATTCCTCCCGAGTCCATGCATAACTCAGTATTAGCCTTCCATTCTTCCAGCCTTTTTACTGGCCAAATTCGGCAACTTTTTCTCAGTACTCATCCATTCAAACCTTTCTCAGCAGTGTAAACCGGTGAGTTTCCTCTCAAGTCAGTAAATCTATGCCAACCCACGCGGTCGGGGCTCGGTCCCGACTTTCCCCCCCGCCGCCCTCTGCCTCGCACGGGGCTCTGAGCCGCCGCCGTCGGGGCCGTGCGGTTCCGTCGGGTGCGGCCTCGGGGTTCGCTTCTCCCCTCGTCTCCGTCGTGGTTGGCAGCTTTTCCTGGGGGCCAAGACAAGCAGGTTTTCTTTAGGGGAAGAGGAGCCACGGAAAGGCGAGGTGGCTTCAGGAGAGCTGGAGCATCCCGCGGAACCGATCCCACTCGGGTTTCCCCTGCCCGCGGACTGAGTGTAACTTCAAGCGACAGAAAACTTTTATTAATCGCCGGTGTTTAGGGCTACGGCATGAGCGAGCTCGGTGACAGTGATGAGTGGTTTGGAGCGCTGGTCCCTGAAAGCGGGGCTTATCCTCCCACTGCTCCCTTGGCTCGGCGCTGATGAGCCGTGAATAGGAGCCACCCTGCCGTCGGGGATCCGGCCGTTTATCTGCCGGGTGATGACAGTCGGGCCGGTTTCGCCTCGCCGTGAATTGGGGGAGCCTTCGGGAAGCGCACGGAGCTGCCGCAGCCGGAGGCTCCGTCCGACAAGGACGTTTCACTCCTCGGTGTCGGCCCCGTCCCCCTGCTTGGGGGATGAGGAAATCTGTGCCCCCCTCCCGGAGGAACCGAGCCCGGAGCCCGCTACGGGCAGGTGCTGTCGGGGCTCAGGGCACGGTGAGCTGAGCGCGGCTGGACTCAACCGGGGGCCGCACGGTGGGGAATGGGCCCGACCCCACCGCTCCAGCATCCTCGTTCGCACCGACGGGGAAATCTGAGGCTGGAAGGAGGCCTGAGAGTCCTTGGGTCTGATTTAATTAAATCGTCCCCACCTGGGATTGCCCCCTCCGCCCTTTCTATTTTGGTCAAGGGGAAAAATCCTGCATTTAAGGTCGGCAGCGGCCGGCATTCCCCCTGTCCTTGCGGCGATTGCGGGAGGAAGGGCTGAAGGGAGACTCACGCAGACAAAGCCGAGCAGCCGGTACCGGCTGCACAGTCACACCAAAATTCACCTTGCCATGGAGCTCCGGGTCTCTCCCGGGGAGAGCCCGGCCCGCGGGTAGGACAGAGCGGTCAGAGCGGGGCTGGGGCACGGAACCGGTGGGGAACCGAGCGGGACAGGTCAGCGGCGGGAGCGGCGCTCCCCGCTGAGCCGGGCCTCTCGCCGGGACGGCTCCTCACCCTTAGACCCTTCTCAGTCCCGGCTCGGTCTGTGCGGGGACAGGACGGTCGCAGGTCCCCTCTCACAGCCCGGTCTCACCTGCCCCATCCCGCTGGCTCCTGCGGGATCCGCTCGCCGATCCCAAGCTCGCATCCCCTGGCCCGCTCAGGTCCTCTTTTTTTTTTTTTTCCCTTTCCTTTTTTCTCTTTCCTTTTTTTTTTTTTTTTTTTTTTTGGTAGGAGTGGGGAAAAGGTTCATTACGAGGTTGACCCCACTTTACTTTTTATTCTGCTCCTGTTCCCAATTTCGGCACCACGTGACGGTGGGAGTGAGTTTGGGTTTAAATTCACTTTCAAGAAAACCCCGATAAGACCCCTGGCCCGCCGGCCCATGGCGGGGTCCCTGTGAGCCCGGCGCTGCGGGAGCGAGCGGCGCCTCGGCGCCCGCCCGGGACCTCCGGCTCGGGTAAGGGAGAGGAAGGGATGAGCAGGGGCTTGAGGGGTACAGTGCAGCGCAGAGCCTGGTGCTGTCGCGATATAGCGCGGGGCACAGCAGTGGAACAGTCGCGACAGGAGTATGTGCAGGGAGTAACGCGCGGCCTGGGCGCGGCTCGGATGTGAGGGTCGGCCCAGCGCTGTGGGGGAAGGTGTGTGTGTGTGTGTGGCTTGGCGATAACGACAACCGAGCTGAAGTGGCCCTCTGAGTCGCGACAGCACTCAGGAGCTATGTCGAGTGTGTTCTCCTCCGGATTTGGGGGTTTGTCGTGGCTGTGCCGGTGCCGGTGCCGCAGGGTGAGGGAGCCCCGGCGGGCCGGTGTGAGGGGCCTCTTCCCTTGCCGCCCTCACCTCGGGGCGGCCCCGACGGCCTGGCCTCGCCGTCGCTTTGTTGTGGCCGCCCAGCTCCTGCAGGCCTTGTGGAAAGGCTCAAGGCTCTCTGTCGCGACATGCAGTGGAGGGGAAGCCCTGTCCTCGTCCCCGGGTTCGAAGGGAGACTCGCAACCGAGGGCAGGCCTCAGGCCGGCGGACACCGGCGCTTCGGCTGCGCTGCAGGGTCAGGGAACCCCACGGGAGTTGTGGGCCCCTCCTGAGGCGGGACCCCTGCCCAGGCGTGATCCCGGCTTTTCCCCATCACCTCTCCCGGGCTACCCCGGCTCCCGCCGCGGGGTCCCGTAGAACCGGCTGTCATTCCAAGCGCGGCCTATGCCCCTCGCTGCAGCCCCGGCCTTGCCCGGCTCCCCGGCGGGCAGCGGGGAGCCCCAGGACCGTCGGGGCTGTGAGGGGGCGGTGGTGCCGAGGATGTCCCCCTCTCCCCGGGCTCCTCCCGGAGCAACGAGTGGCTCCGCTCGCCGCCAGGCCCGGCGCAGCGCCGAGGCAGGCCGGGGAAGGCCGCGGCCGGGTCCGGTGCGCGGGGGCCGGGAGCCCGCTGCCCCCGCCGGTGCCCCCCGGTGCGGACCGACGGGCGGGAGCGGGGCCGGGCCGGGCCGGGCGGGCCGGGTCGGGCGGAGCGGGCCAGAGTCGGTGTAAGGGGATGTGATTGACAGCGGCAACGTCAGCAACAGGAGGGGAAGGAAAAGGGAGGGGGGGGAGACAAAGAGGGAGGGAGTCGAAAGGCCCCAAACTGGATCTTTATGGAACATTTTCCGCCGAGATCAAGGGAAAGTGAATCCGCGCAGCGGGGGATGCTCCGCACGTCGCTGCCATCGGGGGCCGCGGAGCCGCTCCCGGCCTGAGCGCCCCGCGGATGCCCTTCATGCCGCAGCCGCCCCCAGGCCAAGCCCGGAGCCCCCCGCTGCGCCTCCTGCCCCTCGGCCGGCCGTGTGAGTTCCCGGGGTGCGGGGGGAAGGACGGGAGGGAGCGAGGGCTCCAAGGGTGAGGGGCTCCCTGTAGCCCACCGAGCCCCGGCCTGGGGTGGGACACCGCCGCCAGCCTGCCCCGCTGCTCCCTGCTGCTCCCCGCCAGCCAACCTGCTCTGTGCCGGGAGCACCGGTCCCGGTGCTGGTTCTGGAGCCTTGCCCTCGGGCTTCGCGGCGGACACCTCCCACCTGTGCCCTCCCGGTCACCCGGCTCCGCTCTGCGGTTGGACGCCGAGAAACATCCGCGCCTCGGCCGGGCTGGGGCTGTCCCGTCCCGACACCCCGAGCCGGGTAGAGGGACCGGTGGAGCTCTCGGGGCACTGAGCCCCATAGGGTGCTCCCTGCTCGGTGCTCCCTGCCCCGCAGACTGCGGCTGGTCACTGGGGTATGTGTGTCTGCTCACACAGCCGGGGCTGGCTGTCCTGCTCCTCGGCGGGAGCTCTCCCTGGAATTCTGGTGCGAATGGAGCTGGGAGTCCCAGCCCCGCTCTCACCGGAGCTCTGCTAAAGCTGGATTTTGGGGTGCCAGTCCCGCTCTCCCTGGAGCTCTGCTGGAGCTGCAGTTTGGGGTCCCAGCCCCTCTCTCCCCCTGCACAATCGCTGTCCCGAAGAGCGGCTCGGCCTTGGCGGCTCGGGGCAGGACCGGAGCTGCGGGCCGGGGACAGGAGCGCTCCCTCGGGGGCCGCAGATCCGCGGCCAGCTCCGGCTTCTGTCCCTGGGTCCGGCACCCCGCAACCTCCTCGGAGCTGCTCCCCCTCCGCGCCGCCGCTGCCCGTCCTTCTGTTTGTCCGTCTGTCCGTCCGTCAAGCGGGGCGGGCGGCCGCGTCCCTCCGCGCTGTAAAAGTCGGCGTTGATGCGCGGCAGCCCCGGCGGAGCTGTCAGGCCTTATCTTTATTGGCTTTTCCCAGTCTCCGTCCAAGTTTAAGAGGGGCCCTTTTATCTCGGAGCCCAGCACTCCCCCTGTTTACACCGTCCGGCTCCGCCGCAGCGCTTCGTCGCGGAGCCCCCGCAGCCCCGACGGGACGGGGCAGAGAGACCGACCGGGCCGGGCTCGGACGGGTACCGGAGGGGAGAAAGAATCGGGGCTGGGGTGTTGAGACCACATCAGACGTGAGCTGCCCTGGCCTCAGGCGGGAGCGCAGCCACGCGTGGGCGGCTCCCCCGCGGGGGCTGGCGGGCCCGGCCCGGCTCTGCCGGGCACAGCGGCTTCCCCCAGGGCCGGCGGTGTCACATCCCAGTGTCGCCGAGTGCCGCCGCCCGAGGAACGACCACGGGCCGGGCCGGGAGGGCCTGGCCTCGCAGGTGGCCGTGCCCGGGGCTGGGCGAGGGGCAGGGGTTGGACGTGACCCTCGGTGCCGCGAGCTAACGTTGCGCCTCTCTCCCCCAAGGAAATGCTCCAGGAGAAAAGCCTGTCTGAAACCGAGGAAGGGTTTCCAACAGCCCCCGCGCCCGGCCATGCGGACACCTCCGCCGGCTCCCCCGTCCTCGGCGTAGCCGGGGGGAGCACCACGCCGCTCAGCAGCCCGCAGCTCCCCGACCCCGAGCAGGTACGCTCCGTCCGGCCCCGCCACCAGCCCGGCCCGCCACCGCGCATCTCCCCCGGCGGCGATACGGGGAGGGATTGTGAAGAAATCTCATTTTTCTTCATTTTCTTTTTTATTGTTATAAATTTATTTTCCCGCTGTCGATGCGCAGGGCGGTAAAGGGCGCATCCGAGCACCGAAAGCCGCCGCTCCTCCCGGGGCTGCGGCCTGGCGGGGAATTCACTGAGGGTTTTCCATCCTTAAAATAAAACGCGGCTTCTGTGCCTTCGCCCCGGGCCTCTGCGATGTCCCCAGCATCCCGCGGAACGCACAAAGCGCGGCCCTGGATGCGGATCCGTTGTTCCCGCGGCTGCTCCTGGTCCCTGTTTTTTGGGGGTCTTAGGGCGAGTCTAGCCCAACAGACTTTTTTCCCCTAGGAAAAAAAAATTAAAGAAAAAAAATTCCATTCAGCCGCAGTGTCCTGCCTGGTTGTGAAAGTCTGCAATTAAAACCGGCCTCCGTTTGTTTCTCTTATTTTTGGCAAAGGGCAGAGGAATTTTTGAGACTCCATCCTCCTCCCGCACAGGCTGGTGGCTTTGCCCCGAGCCTCGGCTGCAGCGTGGGCCCTGAGTGTCCCCAACCCCAGCCCTACCATGGCCCTTCCCAGGCTTCTCACAGGTTTTCTCCATCATTTCTTGCTGTTCTCATTATCTTAATTTTTTTACAGACAATAGAAAATATCAAAGTCTATCTCCATGAGAAGGAGCTATGGAAGAAATTTCATGAAGCTGGCACGGAAATGATAATAACCAAAGCAGGCAGGTTAGTGAAAATTCCCTGCAAATATGTATTGCTTCTGATCTCTATGAAATGTCCTGTTTGCCAAGACTGGGTTTTGCAGAGCTGCCACAGTCAGTGGCATTTAAAAAATATTATTGTGATTGCAGATTTCGGTAAGATCATTTTTTCAGTGTAAACTGTACATGTGTTTGAGTGTGGCAGTTGGAATGCAGATGCAAGAAAATGTTGTGGAGTCGTTTGGAATATTTAGTCCCGATTCTCTCTGGCAATTATTTTTTTAAAATTATTTTTAAATTAGGAAATTAGCATAATCGTGATTTTATTTTTTTTTTCCTCACTAAGCAAACCCCTTCCCTTTTCTGTGCCCTGCATTAAGACCTGTGCTGGGATACTCTGCACCGAAATTTTAGCAGTACGAACGTTCTTTTAATCTTAAAACTGAAAGATAAACGGGTGCCACTTCTGGATTAAAAAAAAAAAAATCTATTTTCTCTTGGAAACAAATAGTTATTTTTATCGAATCAGAGTCCCCTCAGTGTGCACACCCAGGGAGGGAGACCAGAGCCTCACAGAGGCTTTAGTTGCCCAGAGAACTCAGCCCTGCATCTGCTCAGGGCTCCTGCCCGGGCTGGTCTGGTGCTAGATGGCAGAATTAATGTCAGAAAATTAAGAATCAGAATTAAACCTCAAACCATCACTGGCTCGGGAATCAGATAATTCCCAAGAAAATTAGCCGGGTGTCACTGTGGGCACCAAAGTATCTGCCCTTGGCTTCTGCGGCAGCGGGCTCACCTCGCTGCTGCTGGGAAAGAAAAAATTGAGGAATTAACATTTAATTCCAGCCTAGCTGAGTGGTTCTGCCGTGCCCTGCAATCGCTTGTTTTACACCGTGCTAGCGAGCTGTGCAGCCAGACACTCAAATAACGGCGAGAAAACAGAGAAAAAAAGCCACAAATAATTTCGATTTTAATTTCTCTGTGGTCTCTGACCCTTCGTGCAGAGCAGCCGGGGATGCTCGTGGAGTGTGTGCGTGACTTTCCTCCCCTGTTTGCTGCTCACACTGTGAGACCCAGAACCCAACCCTCGGCATTGGATTTTTGGGATTGATGAGCGCTTTCCCTCTGCTTTCCTTCGTGCTACTCTGTGCTGCTCGGTGTAGGGAGGTTGGACTCTAATAAGCAAGATATTCCCATTATTCGCTCTGGGGAGGGGTTATATGTCTCGGGAATCTTCCATTTATTTGCAATGTGGCTGTTTATGGAGTGATGGTGCAGGTAACTGTCCTTTTCACACCTTATTTTGGTGTATAAAAATCTCAGGGCTTGTTCTGCAGCGTCTGCTGATGGGAAGAGCCGAGTTCATTTGGATGGGTCTGCTCCCTAAGTCAGCTCAGATGAGGGGATCAAGACCTCAGATATTTCACCCTTAATTTATAGTCTCTCAGTGTGTCTGTGTGGAGATGTGTAATATCTGTACCAAATTCTAGACCCTAAGCATCCCAACCGTGCATGTTATCTCTCTGTAAGCCCTAACGTGGCTTGTTTAAACAGCTCCATATGAACGGGGCTCAGTCCCACATTCCTTGTCCAGTGGAGCTGGCAGTGTACCTTTCAGGAGGTGGGATGGGGGGTAGACCACAAGATGTACAAAATTTTGTGTTTTTTAAGCTACCCCAGCCAAATTCCCCATTTGCAAAATTCAGTGCAGCGCCATCGAGCTACAAGAATTCAACATTTTTTTTAGAAACAGTTTCGAATTTTAAAAAATAATGAAAGAAGTGGCTGAAATGCTAATGAATAACACGGAACAAAAGAAACTGGTTTTTTTTTTTTTTCACCGAGTTCAGCTGCAAATGGTGTAAAAATAGAGGACGAGGGCTTTTATCGGTGTTTTTAGCAGCGAGGCACAGCCCCGGAGCCCCCGCAGCAGAACCGCAGCCCCCGCGCCGCCGGTGCCGGGACCGGGACCCGGCTCGGTCCCCTCGGCCCGGGCTGGGCTCTGCCGCAGCACCGACAACAAAAATACCCCAAATAATTAGCATGAGTAAGGCCGAAAAATCGAACAATTTAAATCCCCTGGTGCCTCGAGTGTCGGTTCAGAGCGATGCCACTCGTGGCCGTGCTGAGGGCAGGGCAGCCCACGAGCTGCAATCCGCTGCTAATCCCCATGCAAAGGGCAAAATGAAAATTATTACTTCATGCAGATTTTATTTTACCCAAGCTATTTAAATAGAGAGTCGCAATAATAAACCTCCTCTTGAGCCAATTAAAAAAACGATGGTTAATGGAGATTTGTGTGCACTTGCATTTAGCATTGGGGGGGTGGGGGGTGTGGAAAGAGGGAAAGCGACTAATTGCAGGCACTAATCAGGACTCTAATCCCCCTCCCAGCAGGCACAGAGATGCCCCTGAATGCCGTTAGTTGAAATCACTTAAATGTAGGTCTGTCTGACCTCAAGGGGCACAAACGAAAAGAAATGGAAGCCTGATTTTTAAATTTCAAACAACAACAACAAAAAAAAAGAGAGTGGCTTTAATGACAAGTTCATTCAATGGAGAGGAAATGTAAAGCTCAGCGGAAGCGTTAATTCCATGGCAATGGTGTAAAATAGCTTTTTTGTATAAACAAGGCAAATATTGATAACTTAGTTGGGGGGAAAGGGGGAGTCATTTGTTTCGTTCTTTGTAGAGCTCCACAGAACGAGCCAACTATAAATTATCGAGAATTTAGGGCTGAGAATTACTTTAGGGGATTATTACTCCCTCTTAGGACTGATCTGTAGGAGATATTAGGAGAACACAGCAAGCTCGGCATTGAAATAGAAATCATGTTGTTGCCAAGAAAGTTTGATTTATAAAGTGGAAACATCTTTAAAATGCACTCGCTATCTTTTTAATGTCCGACTGCTTCATTGTGGGAGGGGGAAAAAAAGAGATTATTTTATATTAAGAGGATCATCAAAAGATAAGTTTATGTTAGCAAAGTTCCCTGAACTTTGGAGAAAAGCGCTCGGACCCCTCTGAGCGCCCGTGGCAGCGCCCGCAGGATGGGCGCCGGCTCCATCACTCAGAGCCTTCCTCTCCTTCCTCCTCTTTGAGGTTTGCTCTAATTGCGGATTTCTCCTCCGGAGGATTATCTGGTGATGGTTTTAAAAGGCTGAATGTCTGCGCTGCAGACATTGCCCCGTCCCCGGCGCTGCCCGGAGCGCTGGGTACCCACGGAACCGGAGGGGAACGGGAGGAAAAGCGGCCACGGGTGATCCCTTCGGGCACTGCCCATCCCGAGGGGAGTTTTGCAGGGCAGGTTTTTGGGGGGCAGAGCGGATGCCGTTGTTTGAGGAGCTCCTCTCCGCAGAGCCCCGGCGGGGCGGCCGCTCCCGGTCCCCTCTCCCCGCTCCAGCATCCCGGCTCCCATCCCTGCTCACAGCGCCGCTGGGGCTGTCCAGGGATGGGGGGAACGAGCTGTGAGTGCTGCTTTTGGAAAGAATTGTCCACAAACCCTCCCGTGTGTGCATATGTGTATATATATATATGCATGTGTATATATATATGTGTGTGTGTGTGTGTTGAAACAAAAACCCCTCCAAAACCAAACCAACCAACAATTAAAAAAAAAAAAAAAAATCCCTCACCCCCCTCTAAAAATATTTGACAAAAATAATACCCTAAAAACCTCCACCACCAAAAAAATTCCAGTCGGTGAGATCCTATTAAATCAAATTAATCAAATCAATCTAGACGCTAATAGAGGCATAGGGTGTGTTAGAGGATGCAGATGCAGCTGCACATCTGGATGCCTCCCCTCTGGCCACCCTGTTGTGGGGGCATCTCTCTGTGCACACCTTTCCTGCGGGATTTTAGGAATTGTGAAATTGCACGAGGGGTGGGGAAAGCAGAAATCAAATGAGGGATTTCATTACAAATCTGGATTTCCGATTTCATCCTCTCGCTTTTATGTGCTATTATTTAACTGAACAATTGTAGATTTATATTTTTTTTGTAGCTCGTGGCAAACCATTCTTTGTGAAATCTCATATTTCAGACTTTATTTCTGCTGGAAGTTCATCTTTGCTTCCATAGCCTTTCTGGCTTAGGATTTCTTCCTGTTAGATTATTTATTTAGCTGTTCCCTAAGCATTTTTCCAAGGTGCCAATCTTTGCAACATTGCAATTTCTAGCCAGGTATGGCCAAGGACGAACAATTTGATAAAGCTTTTGTTTCATCAGTAAAAAATGCCAGTTCACAGGATGTCTGGTCACATTTTTGTGAGCAGTTCCTGAAGAGAAAATAATGTGTCATTTCTCTGTGGTAGCAGAACTGTCCCTGAGACGTAACAGGAGACTCAAGATACAGAATTTGAATTTTGGCTGGAGTGCAGGATGTGCACAGGTACAAAGCCAGCTTTGGTCTCTATGGTAGCAGGTTTTAAGAAGCACATATAGGAAAATGCTGCAGAGGAAAAAAATAGAATCAATAAAGCATCTTGCATGTGCAGAAAAGACCCAATTCCCCTTTAGATGTTCACGTTTCATTATAAAAGTGGCTTATTTCAGTTTTTAAAAAATCTGTTCCTAATCAACTTTAGTAAACCAAAATAAAACTAGTTTTTAGGACATCAAGGTCTGAAGAAGTATAAATGCTTTGGCTAAGCTGGTGCAGCTTTCCTGTGTGAATAATCCTTTAAAAGTTAAATTTTCCATGGCTCTGTAGGGCATATGGATGCCCAGTTCTCATTACAATTAAAGGGAAATATTTATCCAGAATCTTTTGAGGCAGTTACAAGAATTTCTGCTGATGGTTTTTGATCCAAAAGCAAACCTTAATATCCGAGATCAGCGAAAGAATGTGAGCCGTCAATTTAAAACATAGAAATAAAATAGATATTTGAGGAATGTTTGATCTGCTTGCTCCTAAATTTGGGATCCTGGAATTATCCTGTTCAGGCAAACTCCTGCATTTAGAGAAAAAGCAGGAGTGAACTCCAATGGCTCTTGGCTGTGCTGCTAAAGTTGTTGACAGCT